TATATATATAAATGAATAACAACCTGATTACTAAACATGTATAGATTGAGTATTGAGATTTAAATTTCTTTAGCGATATACGATTTTTCTTCCTCGTTTATCAAGTGCACCCTTGATATGTTTGATTATATCCATTATTAGGTATTGATCTATCTTGAACCTTTTCCTGCATAACGCATATCATGCATGTAGGTAGGTTATTTTATGGCAGTATTTGTGAATTTTCCTATTTCCTTTAAAGTAATATGAGACTTCATATTTTTTTTTAAAGTTGAATATTTATTATAGACTTGATAGCTACGTTTTACTATAACACATGTGTACATGGACCTTTATTTTAAAGACTACGTTATGGATTCGTAATAAATGTAAAATAACGTGCATAGAATTCTGAGTTAAGTATATTTGCAGGGTTCAATACTTTCCATCACATTGAAATGTATATGACTTTAAAAAATAATTAACCATCATGTTACATTAAAACGGGATAGAAAGTTGAAGATAAAATGATATCATATCATAATAATTACAATACTCAATAGATGTGTTGACTGATGTTTGTCTTTTTTGTGGTTTTTCTTTTTGGTCTTGATGTCTGTTTTTGTTTTTTGTTATTTTTTTTTTTTCGTCTTTTAATTTATGATCGCCCCATTGGTTTTTTCTCCCTCTTTCTACAGTATAAATTTTACTATGTGGACCAAGTATGCAAACAGTTCCTTTTTTTTTTAAGAAAGACGTGACGTGCAGTACGGTTAATATAAAAGGGGATAATGTCGTGTAACATACACTTCTACCGTTACCGTTGCATCTGTGACGCTGCTAATGTAATGCTTGTCCTACAAATGAACTAGAGTCGACCACGATTTAGATATGAACTCATCAAAGAATTCGAATATAATGTTCTACCTCACTTCTAAAAATATATTATTGAACTTAAACGAAGGCTGAAACTTTTTTTATCAAATTGATCTACGAAAGTGTTGGCTGTACATGTTCTAGTTTTATTTGTTTTCCACTTTTTAATCTTCTAACCATTTTGCAAATATTAAATTCGAAAACCAAAAATGTATCGCGCTGACTAAAAAAGATACAAACACCGTTGAAATTTAAATACTTAAAGCAAGATAACTAGATTTTTAATGAATAGTTTTTTCAAAATGATTTAAAAAAGGTCAGTTTAAAAACCATCAAATATATAACATCGTTGTTTAAAACAATATAAATAGTAGAAAATAAAAGAAATTCATAATAGATAAACTTTTGAAACATAAAATCAAATCCACTGAATTAATAAGTGAAAGATGTTTTTTATTCTAATCTTTATAATTTGAACATAAACGTCGGCAACGAAATGCATCTAACTCATAATGATGCAAAAGAATATAATGCACGTCCAACTCACCTTTGGTTACCACTCTGTTCTTTCGTTGAAATGAAGTAAGTGAACAATGTGTCCCAATTAAAGCTTGAAGTATATTTTTTTTAAATGTCTTAAAATGTTGACTTTGATTCATTTATGATGCAATATTCTACCACATAGAGTTGCTATTTCGTAACTGTTTATGACTGAATTAACATAATGCAATCTCATACATGTATATGCATTTGCTACGGTGCATTTATTTTGATGATGCAAATGTAATGATTATACAATTTTTGACATTTGAAAACTCAACAGAGTAGACAATTTTGAATTTCAAACACATTGAAACTTATTTTATCAATTTATACAGGTATAAGTATGTAAACTTAATGTCAACTTCAAACAAATAGCAAAACTCTTTTAGTTCTTGTCTACTTGCCAACTTAACAAGAAAAAAGAAGCCCATAGTCTAGTCAAAATAAAGATTAACGTCAAACAAATTGCACCAAAAGAAATTGTATGTCACAGTACCCAAATTGCACCCATTTAGCAAAAATAGCAATGGAAATCTTACAAGTTCGTAGAGACTAAACCATTTGTATTTTTATGATTTGAAATTATGCACGTCTTTCAACATAGCTAAATATATTGAATATACATAAAACGTTTAAAATCTACGGACATGTCGCCATGCAACGTCCACAAAAAGTCGAACTTTTAAAAAATGAGCAATTAAAAAATTAAAATATGTTACCGGCATCCATTTCTTAAAAAATAAATAGTAAGCATAGACTATTGTCAAATTGTTCTAAATATTTGAAGAAATAAAACAAAACAGTTATTCGATTTTTACGGATGTGAATTTAGGCATGGATGCAATTTGGGTACTCCTCGTAATAGAATCAATGGAACGTTTGAGATCGGCTCAAACCCATTTTTCTATGATTCAATATGGATTCAAAATTAAATTGGTGGAATTATATAGTAAATAACATAATCTACAAAATAAACACATAAGGAAAACTTTTGTCTGGATCATAAACAAACGTAGGTGAAAAAACTGTCAAAATAGGTGCAATTTGGGTACCCTCACGTTATATAGTTATGTCTAAACAACATATGAAAAATCGACAAAAATCTATCGGCTAGTTTTTTCTTAAAATCGGTTACAAATTTGCTAATAAATTTCGTGTAAATTAAGGAACGTTCGGGCTACCGTATAGTGAAAGAGTATAGGATTGTAAGTATGCTTTATGTTCTCACCTTGAATTTTCATGACTAGACTGTGGTTTTCTACAGCAGTTTGTTAAAATGTCTGACCACTTGAAAAGTTTGGTTTGATAAAACAAATTGCAATTTTGTCAGAATTTTGAATAAACTGTAATAGGTGGAGAGCAACACTCACAGTCAAGTCACAGTAACATTCTGATAAGTGTTAAAATGTCTGACTTTGTCTTAACAGATTTTTAACATTGTGAATTTGTCTTTACAGATTCTTAACCTTCTGATTGTTTCTTAATACATTCTTTACTTCTAAAGTTGTCTTTACATATTATTAACATTCTGAATTTGTATAGATATTTCTTAAACTGTGTAATAAATTTATGTTGAATAAATTATTTTTAAAAATATTTTACTGTTTTTGATATTTGCTATCTCATGATGATACTTTAATCGGTTTAATACAATTGAATAATACTGAGTTTTTACGACAATTCATCTTTGGGAAGGGGAGGTTTTTTGGGACTAACATTTTTTCGACTTTAATAAAAAAAAAATTATTTTGGCAATAACATAAAGGTACAACAATGCTTTTAGCTTCCTTCAACTTAATAATTAAATTATATTTCAACCATGTAAACATATCGTACGTCTTCTTTGACATTCTAGGATAAATGTCTGATATTTTTTCTGTCATTTTTTTGTTTATCTATATATGGGTAATTTTAGAATTTGAACTCCTTATAATACATCACATATCTTAAAGGTGATCGTTTTATATTAACGTACTGGTCTTAGAATATAGACTAAAACATCTTTTTAAAATAAACAGACTTGTCCTCTTGAAGACACTTGCATACTTAAGAGTACTAACAGATACATTTGACAGTTTCTGACACATTTATGTAGTCACAAGCGTTAACAATCATATATGATGCAAGGGAGACCGTTGTATGTTGTCAACTTGAGCTGTTAGATTTAAGCAAAAAAGTACGTTATTTATTTGAATGAATAAGTTTGATTTTTTTATTTTACAACAGAATATTGTGGTATTTTGTATACGTTCTTGATTGACTTTTAAAGAAATATTAAAACTCGCTTATACTGTAAATTAGTAACTAGTAGTAGAATTAATGAGTGTCCTTCGTCCTACTTAATTTCGACCAGGGCTTAAGTAATACAATGTTGACTGCTGTACCCAAATATTTTACATTTTACCTTCTATTTCTGTTTTTTTTTTGCACTATTTTCTACATAAGGAAATGCAAGAATATGACAGTTGTTTTCCATTCGTTCGGTGTGTTTAAGCTTTTGATTTTGCCATTTGATAAAGGGCTTTCCGTTTAGAATTTTCATAGGAGTTCGGTATTTTTGTTATTTTACTTTTTCATGTTTTTGATACGGATATTTTAAGAAGTAAAATAAACAGAATGTCCTAATTTCATGTTGCTGTTTATGATTAGTTCTCTATGTTAAGCTAAAAGCTTTAAATTATATTTCATATTTAGTGCTTAAAAAGCATTTAGACATAACATTCATTATAGGAATAAAGTTGTATGTCCCCATACAATATTTGGCGTAAAGTTCATAGTTATCGGCGTATTTCTCCTACTGAAGTTATCGCTATACTTCCATAAGCCTCGAAATGTCATGGCGGGTCACATGTATGTGTCTGTATTTTCAGTAAAAAAACAACGTTGTGTCATCTATCTTTAAAGCCAAGAGACACCACAAAATTTACATCTGAAAATGAACCAGGATTATTCCGGAATGAACTTGTACCTAAAGACATAATATCCGTGGTCGTCTGACTGTTTATCACAAATACAATATATATATACATGTATATATATAAAGAAGATACAACAATGCAATCAAAAGAATAAGTCTATTGATAAGATTGATTAAACCATGACCAAACGAAAAATGAGACAAACAGTCAACTAAACAATAGACAGAAAAACAAAGATTTAGCAATACAAGCCCAAACCAAAAACATCAGGAGGTGGTAGAACTCAGGATCTCCGATAGGTTATTGACGAATTGTTTTTGGAAAAAAATATTCTAACTTTACGGTGTAATTCAATATAGTATCATAAAATTGCAAATTTATTCAAAACTGTTCGAAATATATTAGTAAGCATTTATTTCACAAACTTCACTTGATTTAATCTTGCTACTATGTAATTAATTATGTTTCAAAAGCGTATGTGCCCTTTAAATCTTGTGAAAGAAAACGAAAAATGAAATTTGCATGTGCGCCTGGAGTGTTAATTTAACGCAAGAGCTGGCATCGCTGCATGTAAAAGAAATAACATTAGTAGTATTATGTAATAATATAGATCGAAATATCTGTTTTCGATATTTGTAAAAAAAAAATTATTCAATAACAAAAATAATAAAAATGCTTACTTACCGACTAGAGAATGTCTTTTTACGTATTTTTTTACACTTTATTTACAATAATGCAATTAATTATTAAATGTCTGTTTCCAAATTTTTATATTTAACTAAGCAATCATGCCAACCCACATATGACTTAAAATTTCAACAATTCAATCCATCTGAAATTAGAAGTTAAAAAATTTCGTACATTCGTACGTTTTAAATTTCTTTTCATTGGCCGATTCGGGTCAATTTTTTTAAACAACAAAAAGTATACGAAAGTCATATAAATGAATTATAATCTTGATATTAAATCTGTAACGATTGGGTATTGATACTGTCTTTTAAATTTCTGACGATTTTTTCTTCCTTGTTACTTAGTATTCAATAACACCTTTTGGCATGTCTGAATAAAATTATATATATATATATATTATCAGGTATTGATCTATCGTAAACTTCTTACTTTATAAAGTATATTATAAGATCTCTCAACATGTAGCTCTAGTAATTTTATGGTGGTATTTTTTTTTTCATGTATATACTTATACCGATACCGTTATATCTGTGACGTTGCTAATGTAATCCTAGTCCTACACGTGAACTATGCACGTGAGCACGTTGGTGTTGTCATGAATTATATGTTAACTAATCAAAGAATTTGAATTTATTATTCTACCTCATTCCTTAAATGAGAGGAGGATACCACAGGGACATCCAAACTCATAAGTCGAAAATAAACTGACAACGCCATGGTTAAAAAAGAAAAGACAAACAAACAACTACACAAAAAACATAGAAAACCAAAGACTGAGCAACACAAACCCCACCAAAAACGGAGGGTGATCTCAGGTGCTTAATTGAACTTAAAAGAGGGTTGAAACATTTTTAATTAAATTTGAATTACGTCAGTTTTGACTATACATATTATAATCTTATTTGTTTCCCACTTTTTATTTTTTTACTCATTTGAAAATATTATGATTCGAAAACAAAACATGTCGCGTTAAAAAAAATACAAATACTTTTGAAATTTAAATAAATAAATGCAGAAAACTAAATTGATAATGAATGGTATAAGGTTAACAACTATTTAATAGATAACCTCGTTGATTAAAACAGCATAGATAATAATAAAAAAATCTAAATAAATCGACTTTTGTAGTATCTATTTAAAAATGAAAATAGGTGAAAGTTTTTCAACTAATTTACTTTTTTTGTAATATATGCAAACTCACCTTTTGTCTCCCACTCTGTTCTTTTTCGTGACAACAGTTATCCGTAAGGGCAGAAGACGATAAGGTATGTCAATGATTCTTAAATCGTTTCACATTGGAACTAGTTTTAATAAACCTTAATAAACCTTGATGCCTCACAGTTATAACATACTGAACAATTCTATTCAACTGTTTGAACAGGAAAACTTATAACTGCCTAACACCAGATACACAATTAAAAGTGGACATTTAAGTTATAATTGAGTGTAAGCATCAGCCTGGTTAAAAAAAAAATAATCCTCACTGCCGTGAGGGAAAATAAACAACTGTTTACCTAATCTGACAATTAAGTTCGAAAATAGAAATTTCATATTTAGCTTACCTGGCCCGAAAACCCAATGTGAGTTGTTATCATCACTTGGTTTCCGTCGTCTGTCACCCGCCGTTTGTTGTCTATTAACAAAAAATAACACTCTGAAACTAATAGCCCAATTGTTACCAAACTTGGCGATAATCATCCTATATATAGTTAAAAAAAATGTGTCCGATGATCTGGCCTGCATTCAAACATGGTCGCCATGTCTCAAAATCTTAATTCTCCAGAGCCATTGATATATTATAGAAACAGAAAATCTTACAAGGATAGAAATGTTCCGAATGTCAAAATATATCTACATACCTACAACTGTCATACCACTGATTTCATGAGTTATAGCCTTCGAAGGTCTTCGAAGACGACTTTTATTTTCTTCTCTTTTTTTGTTTTTTTTTTTAAAACTATCATTACTAAGGAGAAATTTTAAATTGCAAAAACTACCAACAAGATAGGGTCTACGAATAATTCGAATATATTCCTTATAGACGTGGCTGCCCTTAAATGACTATTTTACTCCATTATTGGCGTTCTGGCTTAAGACTTGAAAACCATAATAAGAGAGAGAAAACATTAAACATTTTTTTTTATTTTAAAAAGAACAGTTATGAATAGTTAACGGATAGTGGTTAATATTTCACACATAATCAGGATGGGAAACATACAACAATACATTTCAAAAGAAAGTTCTGCAAAGCGGTCGGGCAAAACGAAGGGCAGGAAATCTTAATGCCACTGCAAATAGATAAAAAGCTTGATAGACCTTTTTGTCTCTTTGTAACAGGTCACCAACGAGACTCTAGAAGTTCATTGCAAGCGTCAATGATTGCGCAAAGAGGAGTTTTTCTCCTTATATGAGATATATAGGATTTAGATTTTCCGTTACAACGTTAACTAGACGTGATTGCGTATTTATACATCCCGTACTACCAAACAGACAAATATGTTATTAAAACTCGATCAGGTATAATTGTCTTTAAGTTGATTTTGTTGTTCCTTTACGGTCTCATTTGCCATCAAGGTCATAAATGATATCTCCATTAGTATTTATGTATTTATATATAGTCCTTAGTTTTCAAATAAAAAAAGTAGAAACAGACAAACATCGAAATTTCACCTTCGAAATTCATGGTTATGTACAAGCTTAATACTTTTGGAATTATATACCTCCTTTTGAAATCTATGATATTGCATACACAATGATGTCGCTTAATCTGTACATAAAATTGATTAACCATTCAATGTAAGTAATATGACAAACTGAAATCCCAATCATTTTAAAGTGACATCAAGGCCGTACGGTAACCTATAGTCTTGGTCTCTGCATGGTGCAGAGTTGTCTCATTGCCAAACTTTTCACATCTTCTTTATATTTGATTATCCATTTATGTATGATTAAGATTAAGAACTATTCTGAATGAGTTTCAAGTTAACAACATTCTATAAACTCAACTCGTTGTTACAATGTAACGCGACAAACAATCGTAATGTCATTCTTTATGATTAAGCAAAAACAATATATAAATACAACTTTATGCTAAATATTCCAGCGAAAATTGATTTAAAATATTTCAGTCAATAATTTCAACTTTTGTATACTATCTTCCTGATACGCGTTCTTTGCTTTGGCATTTTTAACTGTTTTGATTCGAGCTTCACTGATGAGTCTTTTGTACACGAAACGCGCATCTGGCGTACAGAATTTTAATCCTGGTATCTATGTGAGTTTATATTTTTATCAATAAATGTATGCGAATGTTGAGACCGCACCCTGTAACTTGTGGAATATTTTATTTTATAATTTTATATAAAATTAGTTCCTTGTAACAAATCTTTACCTTTGAACATTTATAGTTTCGTCCCATTTTTTGAATTACCTCAACTGGCCCGAATGACCATGTAAACTATTGCCAACAGTCGTTCGTAAACTTTTCTTTAAAAATCGTCTCCTCTGAAACAACTCGAGGTTGAATCCATAGTTTGTCTGTTTAATATATAGGATGTTCACTATGAAGCTTGTGATTATCATTCAAGTTGATCAACCAATCAAAAGCCTTGTTGCTTAGAATAGAGCACAGGGATAATCAAACTGCAGTTGTTGGCTAATATTTCGAAAACTATAGCAATTATCTTTATCTACCCTGAAAATTTAAGAAAAATCTGTTGATCCGCTTTGAAGCTACTGTGATGCCCCTGAAATATCTTGTGTGACAGATATTTGCTGATTTTGGTATTTATATTGAACATTGTAGAAAAAGTATAAATAATAATTTAACAAGATTATTCTATCCCAATAATTTCAGAAAAAATCTGCCAACCCTGTTCGGAGATATTGCACTTGAAATATCATCTGTTCAATTTTTGCATTTTTTTTTGTACGACGTATGACAGATTTAAAATGTATGATTTGACGTTGTTTTCTGTCAGTTTCATTAGAATGGAGATAACAATATTGTTTTGAAGCTCCGACAGCATCAATTGGTGATTTGATGGTCGCAAATACCCGTTTTCTGGCTTCGCTAACGCGTCGCCAGTAAACTTAATTTCCGACCATCAAATCACCAATTGATGCCGTCGGAGTTTAAAATACAATTACATATATACAGTTATCTCCTAATTGCAAGTTCTGAACTATGAATATTTCCAACAATCTTATAACTTGTTTTGGGTTATTGTCCCTTTAATGTCTATACTGTTTTGCAGCTATTTGCTATTTTTTCAAAAACAATTGAATGTGTAAATTGCAAAAAATTATCAGCGTCACATAGAATAACTAGTATGTGCAACAAAGGGTCCTCGTTGGAGATTGGAACTTTTTCACCTGGTGAGCCTCTTGTTTTATATATCATAAACATATTTATAAATCTCAAATTTTCTAAACCAAATTGCACCAGTACATATATACCTCGAATGCAATCAATTATCATTAAAAAATGTTCTTCCTTAATGAATTCGTAGAAATAATGTGTAACAGAAATATGGGGCTTTTATTATGAATTGAAAAGGTTTCTGTTTTCATTATAAATATTTTTAAACGTAAAAATTAAAAAGAAAATATTTGAAATATGATTGAAGTGTCAATAACTCACATAATCTCTTTTAAAACGTAATAATATAAAGCTCATAATTACAGGCGGTTGTGCTATTTAAATTTAAATATATGACCTTGAATGGATAAGTTTTGATATATGCTTGCCAAGCATAGTTTACTTATAGCATTTGCATTTTAAATGCGAACATGATATTATAATCGGTCAATGCACAATGGGGATGTTCATAACACGTGTTTACTTTTATATGTAAAGTGTTATATAATTTGATGTCCTTTACACCTATTTACCCCCTGTATTGTACATTTAGTCATTTTGATTGACTTTAAATACTTGCTTTTTTATAATAATCTCTCTTAAATTTATTTATTATATATTGTTTTCATCTCAATTTAGATATTATAATATTATTTCTTTCTAAATACTACAGAAAAGAACTTTTTCAATATTACAGTTTTCTTACATAAACGGTACCAAATTTTTCTGCACCAGATGCGCATTTCGACAATCATTGTCTCTTCAGAATTCCCTATACTTGCT